TTTTTTTTTTTTTCCCTTTTTTTTTTTTTTTTAACCTTTCACTGTATTCAAAGATGAACATTTTCTTTCAATGTAGAAGGGGGGGAGATGATTGGCCGAGATGACTCAGATGAGGGGGGAGGTAAAATTAGGGAGGCCTCTCTCTCTCTCTCTCTCTCTCTCTCTCTCTCTCTCTCTCTCTCTCTCTCTCTCTTCCCCCCTCTCTTCTCCTCCCCCTCTTTTCCATCTTTCGTCCCTCTGCTGGAGCTGGTATCCGGTTTCCACCCTCTCCTCACTCCCTCTCTTCGATTTCAATCATGACAGACATGTTCTCCTTCTCCCTCTCTCCCTCGTTCTTTCTTCCTCCCTCTCTCTCTCCTCCTCGCATTCCTCTCTCCTTCTCCTGCTCTCTCCCCATCTCCATCCGAGTCTCCCTTCCTGTCCATGGCATTGTAATGTTTTGCAGCACCTCAGGAGTGCCTGGCAGGACTGACCATACTCTTCTCTTTCCGCACTCATTCGCCAAGGATAACGTACACCAAGGTGCTTGTGGAGAGAGAGAGAGAGAGAGAGAGAGAGAGAGAGAGAGAGAGAGAGAGAGAGGTCTGAGTGATTCATGTATGGGGTGTGTATGACCAGTTGTTAGTGGCGATTCTAACCTGCTGGGTCCTGCTGCATCGTGGCTACGGGTGGTCGGTTTGGTGGTTGTGGTGTCCGACTGGTTATGGGTTATGGTTGTTTTTCTTCTGCCAGGTGATGTTTCTGCAGCTCAGGCTCTGGATTTGGTGTCTACGCAAGACTTCTCACTCATTGATCTTCGCACACAGAGGGAGAAGGGCCAGTCAGGCTTGCCCAGCCTCCCAAAGAATGCCAGAAAGAGATTTACTGCTGTTAGGTAGGTGTGTGTGTCTGTGTGTATGCTGCTTAGTTTTTTTGTCATATATATATTCTGATATAAAAAAGGAAATCTGCCCGAGGATGGGAAGTATGCGCAAAATTTCCCCTCCTCCCCCCCCTCCAAAAAAAAAAAGAAGTATGCCTGAAAAAAAAAGAAGAGATGTCAATTATGCCCAGGGGCCAGGACT